TTCTTCCTCTATCGGTTTGTGTATATTGGGATTCACTTGACCTTTATGAGTTTGCACTTTCAGATATTTCAATGCATTTGAAGAAACGTATTCATGCAATACAATAAGATTGTGTTTATAGGACGTCAAAATGTTCTAAGTATCCTAATAGACCGCTTTATAAGACTATATTTATACGACCAAAAAATAGAACGTCATATATAATAACTTTATAGGACGTTTTTGGGTGTCGTAACAGGTTTTTTAGAACACTTTTATAAAAAAACATCGTATTAGCTATTTTATTTGATACTATTTGAAAAAGTGTTTTATAAAAACAAGTATCCTATAAAAGATAGGTTTATAGGACACTTTCTCAAAGAGCGTCTTATGAAATAAATATAATGAGACGCTTTTTATTAGAAGTATTCTAAAAAAACTTATTAAGACGTCTTTAAATAAGACATTTTATTTTTTGGTCTTATAAAACAGTCTATTAAGACTTAAAAACAGAGACGGACCTAGACATTTTCTATGTGGTTGCACCATATAACATTGACAAAAAATAAAAAGCACGGCTTTTATTGACGTATTTTCATGTTTTTACTAGCGTTCATCATTGCTAGATGTGTTTTTAGCCAAATTCCACTGTTTTCAGGGATTTCTAAAGGTTTTTGCTTGATCTCGAGGAAATTTTTAGTTTTTTTAATCGATTTTGAGGGACTTTTTTCGGTTGATTTCAAGAGTTCTTTTTTTTTTTTGTCGATTTCAAGAGTTCTTTTTTTTTTTGTGTCGATTTCAAGAGTTCTTTTTGGTTGAATACGAGGTATGGTTGCACCTTCTTAAACTTTTGAATACCATACGGTGTCACCTTCTAAAATGATATGGTTGCACCTTTCATAAACGTAAATTTTTTCAACTTTTCGGCAGAGATAATATGGTAGCACGTGCCACCATATGCATTTCTATTGTCCATTCATGCTTAAAAATTGGTGACCTCACATAAACCCAATTTTGTTGTAGTGAAATTTCTTTGAATTTTCTGGTAAATAGATCAAATTTATTGAGAGAATGCAGAATTATAATAAATTTCCGTACCGTTGCGTTGTTGGCGAAGATCTCTCGTCTTTCATTCATCGATCGATCTGATGGAAGCATATATCATGATTACACTACTCTCTCTACCACCCGATGATCTGGTTAATCAAGTCTCCCTGATGCCAAATTCAACACCTCCGGTCATCGTGGGTTACTTCTCCGATCATCCTCATGACTTGACGCAGTTTAAAGGCCTAATTGATAGCCATAACCGGTGTTTCTCCGATCTCCGGATTTCGAACTCAACATGTCGTTGTCCTCTTGCAACAAGCAGCAGATTCAGTTTATTGCCTATAAAACTATATCAATGCCACGCCGTCCCCATCGATCTGTTTTGTTACATATTCTTTTCGATGGATGAAGATCAGAGACTAAGCAACCACAGGCAAGAAACGAGCGGTGCAAAGGGCGGGAAGGATGTATGCATTAAGAAAACGGAGGGGGATCGTGTAAAGTTCTCTTATTTATTATAATTGGTCAAGGAACATAGTGTGTTTGGGATTGCTTATAAAAAAAACTTATTGACTTATTCTGATGTGACACCGGTAATAAACACTTTTAAGTGTTTGAATAAATAACTTATATCGGTGTCAAACCGGTAATAATGAGTTTTTCAAGAAGTTAAACCATTCTGACTAATAATAAGTTGATAAGTGTTTTTGTAGAAAAATATAAGTTGTTTCAAATAAACAATCCCAAACAACTCCAAGAGTTTCAAGAAAGATATCAAAATTTCAATGGAAGATCTTTTAAATAAAGATTTTTGGACCGTTTATCTCTGCGTACCAGGGTGAGCATAACAAGGACCAAGAATTTTACCATGTAAATGATATAGAAAATGCTTATCAGGTAAGAGATGCTTGCTTAATAGATGGTCTTTGCAAAGAAGGGGAATGTGTTACTGGAAAAGATGGAAGCATATGGTTGCAGTACAGAGACTGAAGCTTACAATACAATAAAAAGGAATCGATTACGTGAAGCACAAGGATTATTTCAAAAAATGGTACGCATCTGATTTCCCACACAACTTTAGTTGATGGGTTGTGTCGAAATGGTAATGTCGGTCTTGCATTCAGGGAGTTGGATGAAATGAAGAAGATGAATTGTATGCTGAATTTGGTCCTTTATGGCTCACTCACTTGTGGGTTACGTTCGGAAGGCCGAGCTGATGAAGCGAAGATGTTGCTTGAAGAAATGGGTATACATCACTAAACCGAGTGGATGATGCATTTTCAATTCGAACCCAAATACACTACTCTTCGAGTCTTGATGAAGGTGCTAGAAAACGAAGCACCGAGCTCAAAGGTGAGGTTTGCTGCTAATAAACTTTAGATAAAATGTCAGAATATGGATGTAAACCAATAGTTGTCATCGTTTACCCTTTTAGTGTTTGTTAAACGACCCCTTTGTAGGCCATTTCTATTGTAAATGTTCAAATACTATTGTACCATATACTATTGTACCATATACTTGTGAAATGAATGTAATGTTTAACTTAAATCCTACAAACATTACATTTTGAAATTTTTAAGGAGTGCTTGGGATTTCACCGGATTTCTTAGGATTGTATGTAATAAGGTTTTAAAAAATGTTAAAAACACAATTAATAAAAATGTAATTTAATTATTTTTATAATTTTTTTATTAAATTATTTATAAATAATAGAATCTAACTCCATTCCAAATCCTACAAACCAAACACACTAATGATTTCAAATTCAAATCCCTCGAAAACAATCCTGCAAATGAAATGGGACCTAAGAGATTGAAGTTGCCAGGATTCTAACTTCTATAAAAGGTCCAAAACATTTGCATGTAACAGAAAGAAAATCCACAAGGAAGAAATCAGGAGAAACTTACCTGTTAACTTCACTAAGAGGGGACTGCAACTTGACCAAGTGAGCCATGAGTTCCTTCACATCTATGTTGTTACTGCGTTCAAGATACAAAATATCGTCAGGACCGATATTCGATATTTCGGTTATATCGGTCCAATATAGCGCTTAATATAATTTTTCTTAGAATTATATATATATATATATATATATATTATATGTATGCATCCATAAACATATCATATGCATTAATTAGAGTTTAGAAATATAGTTTCAAAATTAAATCATCACATAAACAAGTCTCACAAAACAAAATAGGAAAATTGTTCAAAAACGAGCTAATCGCAAGCAATAGGTTCGACATCCGAGTCAACATCATCTAATACGTTCACTGCTTCGTGACCAGAAGCGTGAACTGTGAAAAACCGAAAAGAGAAGAAGCATGAGACCTAATATATGTGTTGACTGATTGACCAAATAAAGAGACCCAAAAATCTAAGCCCAAACATTTGCCTTATAGAAAATCGGTATATCGGACCGATTTTTCCATCAAAATATCGGTGAACTATCGGTAAATATCGTACCAAATCGGTATGCTAAAAATGTCCTTCATCCTCTCCATTTCAACCAGGGTATCTACGTAATCTATATAACAATTAGTAATCAATACCACTCATCCAAAACCTTAGCGGATAAAGTGTGGACTGTTTGCCCTCAGAAGGACCCTCCTTTCAATACCAAATGGAAACCATGTTCTAGGTGACTGCTAACCATACCTCCTTTCAATGCCAAATGGAGACTTCATGAATAACTCTTTAGGATCATCATTCTAAAAAGCATTATTAGGATCCAAGTGTAAGAAGACACAGAGGTAGTAGAGTAGATTAGAGAGATGCTTACAGAAAGAGAAAGCGATGGTCGTTTGGAGAGACAGTAACATGGCAGGGATATTCTATTACTGGGAGCCGCACCTCACAAAACGCTTCAGACGCCCATCTTGGCCTCCCATGAATAAGTAGGCAGGGAAATACACAAAGGCAAAGCACACCTTGTATGTTTTAACATAGTTCTATTCCTTCTTCTGCATATAAAACTTGATAATGAATATATTTACACTTTCAAAAACATTCATCATCCACTATGAAGCATGTACCTTAATAACTCAGTAGCCTTACTCATTTCCCCTATCTTGCAAAGACAAGAAGTCACCATCTTGACACAACCCAACAACAAAAGTCTTGTTGGCAGCCGCATTTGGAGCAACTTCTTTCTCTCCCATCAACATAAATACTTCTATTGTTTCACTTAATTGATTCATGTTGGAAAAACAATCTATGAATGAATTGTAAGCTTGAAATGTAACAGAATCATCTAATGGTGTTAGGGTAAAAGGACCAAAGGCGTATGGAAATGTAAACCACAAGGACGTTACAATGTGTGATTTATATAAACCACAAGAACCAAAATTGTAAATTACTCAAAAAGATATAAAAAACGGACATCACTTTATACTTTTTGAAGATCTAATGTTGTTTAAATTTTGTCATCCTTCATACGTTGGTATATACATTTTTTGTTTTAAAATTTAAACAAAAATTGTAGCATCCATGACATGGGATTCATGTATATACAATATAGAGATGACAACACACAAAAATATCAGTCTTCTCTAAGAGAAGAATCAAGTATGAAGCAATGGCTGATATAAACCCATTCTACAATTTTATGATTGTGGTTTAATTTTTGAAGATTGGTTCATGTTTCCACATGTGGTGGTACAATATTATTTTTAAAGAAACCAAATCAATGTTACTCAACTAACTGCTGAAAATTAAACCACAGTGATCAAATTTTGGTGGTTGTGTTTCTGTCAGGAGGACAATATGAAACAGAAGCTAAACCAACATGCACTTGCCAAAACAAAAACTAAGAAAACATTTTTCCCCAGTAATAAAAAAGAAGAACTAAGAAATACACAAAGGCAAAGGACACCATGTATGTTTTAACAAAGTTTTGTTCCTTCATCTGCATATAAAACCTTGATAATGAATATATTTACACTTTCTAAAACCTTCATCATCCTCTGTGATCACAAGTACTCTAATAACTCAATACCCTTACTCGTTTCCCCTCTCTTGTAAAGACAACAAATCACCACCTTGACATGATTCAAACCAACATCTTGACACAGCCCATCCACTAAAGTTTTGTAGGTATCTTCGTTCGGAGCAACTTCTTTCTCTCCCATCGTCATAAATACTTGTATTGTTTCCCTTAATCGATTCCTTTTACAACAACAATCTATAATTGAATTGTAAGCTTCAGCCTCTGGCCTACAACCTTCTTCTCTTAGCAAAAAGAGGACAGCTTCTACTTCATCTTGCTTAATGTGAGCATCTATTAAAGAGGTATAATGATACTCATTAGGCATCACCTTTTGCTCCACCATTTCTCCAAAAAGAGCTAAACCTCCATCAAGGTCCCCCGCTTTGCAAAACCCGTAAATGAGTACACCGTAAGTCCTTTGATCTGGTTTCAATCCATTTTCCTTCATCAAACTCAATAATCTTATTGCATTGTTTAGATCCATTTGCTCGATGCATCCATACATCAGTATGTTATAAGAAGCAACCATTGGCAAAGGGCCTACGTTGGTCACTTTGCTCAATAACATCATACCCTTGTTTAGGTTTCCTATCAAGCACCACACCCTTATGATTTCACCATGCGTTATGCTATTTGACAAATTATTGTACCCCTCCATCCAAAATTCATCAAGGCAGCATCAAACATCCTTGTTGTTCTTAATCCGTGTAAGAGATCATTATAAGTGCTTGTGCTTAGAGGAATCATTCGACTTTTCACCATATGGTGGTAAACGCCTATGGCTTGTTTCGGTTGGCTGATTTTGAACAACCCACCGATAAGAGGCGAGTAGTTCTCCGCGTTTGGGGGAGAACCCCTCTTCCTCATAATAACCACCAGATCCAAAGCCTCATTGCCATATCTGCTTCACACATTGAGGAAATCGGGAGGGTAAAGGTACGAGTATTGGATTCAATACCATTCCTGATCATTGTGTTTAGCATGTCTAGGGCGTCATCAACCCTCACAACATGGCACAACGCGTTTATTAAGTGGTTATATGTCAAGGCATTTGGTGTAATCCCTTGATCCGTCATTTCTTTCCACACCCTAAACCCGGATTTGATATGCTTGTATCTACCATAACCGAGAATAAGTGATGTGAAGACGTACACATCGGGACACACGTCAAACTTTAACATCCGACCTAGATATAATTCTGCTTCCGGAACCAAGGCATGGCGGCATAACATGTTTATTATCGGCATGTATGTCCAGAGGTTTGGTTTGAATCCGGAAGCAATCATATTAACAAAAGTTCGTTGGGCAGTCTCGACCATTTTGAACTGGGCCAATTGATGTAAGAAGGTACTAGAGTTGTTTGGCCCGCAAGCGAGACCTTTTTTCTGAGGTCATCGAAAAAATCAACTATATCGGTAAGTGGTTCCTTTGTTTTACAATTTTTGATGATTAGGACTCTCAGCTGATCAGTGTCAGTGTCTTCAAATCGACCGGATTGAACCAGTTTGGGTAACCGAGCCTTATATTGTTCTATGTTATTTTTAGGAACACCACCATGATCAGAAGATATCGATCTCACAGAAGTGTGAGAAGACAATAAAGAGAATGACACAAAATGAGGTTGAGTTGTTGTAGTTACCATTTCATGATCAACCACTTTCATCAGCCGAAAGCAGGTAGAAACAATCCAAGCACGAGACGGTGGCATTGTGTTGCACGGGATGAGCGAGGGGAAGACGCTAAGAACAGAGGGAGGGGAAGACGCAGAGGGAGTGAAGAAGATGAAATTTGGGCTTAGAAGAGACGATTTTGCATTTCCTATTACGTGCCCTTAAAATAAACTATTGAGTAAACTGCATATTTAGTCCCCGTGGTTTTTGAAAAATAACACTTCACGAAAAAAAAACCAATAATAAAAAAAAAACAATAAATATCTTATGAATAAAGATTTAATAGTATGATGCTATAAAGAGATTTTTAGAATTATGATCATTAGATTCAAAACCATCATACATGAATGTGGATATAAGATGTTTACTGTAAAAATTCAACACTATCTTCTGTGAGATTGATATCTTCTGATCATGGTGGTGTTCCTAAAAATAACATGGAACAATATAAGGCTCGGTTACTCAGACTGGTTCAATCCGGTCGATTTGAAGACACTGACATTGATCAGCTGAGAGTCCTAATCATTAAAAGTTGTAAAACAAAGGAACAACTTACCGATATAGTTGATTTCTTCGATGACCTCAGAAAAAAAGGTCTCGCTTACGGGCCATACAGCTCTAGTACCCTCTTACATCAATTGGCCCAGTTCAAAATGGTCAAGACTGCCCAACGAACTTTTGTTAATATGATTGCTTCCGGGTTCAAACCAAACCTCTGGACATACATGCCGATAATAAACATGTTATGCCGCCATGCCTTGGTTCCGGAAGCAGAATCATATCTAGATCGGATGTTAAAGTTTGGCGTGTGTCCCAATGTGTACGTCTTCACATCACTTATTCTCGGTTATTGTAGAGACAAGGATATCAAATCCGGGTTTAGGGTGTGGAAAGAAATGACGGATCAAGGAATTACACCAAATACCTTGACATACAACCATTTAATAAACGCGTTGTGCCATGTCGGGAGGGTTGATGACGCCCTAGACATGCTAAACACAATGATCGGGAATGGTATTGAACCCACTGCTCGTACCTTTACCCTCCCGATTTCCTCAATGCGTGAAGCAGATATGGCAATGAAGACTTTGGATCTGGTGGTTATCATGAGAAAGAGGGGTTGTCCCCCAAACGCCGAGCACTACTCGCCTCTTATCGGTGGGTTGTTCAAAATCAGCCAACCGAAACTAGCCATAGGCGTTCACCACCATACGGTGAAAAGTCGAATGATTCCTCTAAACACAAGCACCTATAATGATCTCTTACACGGATTAAGGACAACAAGGATGTTTGATGCTGCCTTGATGAATTTTGATTGGATGGAGGGACACAATAATTTGTCAAATAGCATAACGTATGGTGAAATCATAAGGGTGTGGTGCTTGATAGGAAACCTCAACAAGGGTATGATGCTATTGAGCAAAATGACCAACGTAGACCCTTTGCCAACGGTTGTTTCTTATAACATCCTGATGTATGGATGCATCGAGCAAATGGATCTACAGAATGCAGTAAGATTATTGAGTTTGATGAAGGAAAATGGATTGAAACCAGATCAAAGGACTTACGTTGTACTCATTAACGGATTTTGCAAAGCAGGGGACCTTGATAGAGGTTTAGCTCTTTTTGGAGAAATGGTGGAGCAAAAGGTGATACCAAATGAGTATCATTATACCCCTTTAATAGATGCTCACATCAAGCAAGATCAAGTAGAAATTGTCCTCTTTTTGCTAAGAGAAGAAGGTTGCAGGCCAGAAGCTGAAGTTTACAATTCAATTATAGATTGTTTTTTGTAAAAAGAATCGATTAAGGGAAGCAATACAAGTATTTATGACGATGGGAGAGAAAGAAGTTGCTCCGAACGAAGATACCTACAAAACTTTAGTGGATGGGCTGTGTCAAGATGCTCGTTTGAATCATGTCAAGGTGGTGATTTGTTGTCTTTACAAGAGAGGGGAAACGAGTAAGGGTATTGAGTTATTAGAGTACTTGTGATCACAGAGGATGATGAAGGTTTCAGAAAGTGTAAATATATTCACTATCAAGGTTTTATATGCAGATGAAGGAACAAAACTTTGTTAAAACATACATGGTGTCCTTTGCATTTGTGTATTTCTTAGTTCTTCTTTTTTATTATTGGGGAACAATGTTTTCTTAGTTTTTGTTTTGGCAAGTGCATGTTGGTTTAGCATAGCTTCCATTTCAGATTGTCCTCCTGATAGAAACACAACCACCAAAATTTGATCACTGTGGTTTAATTTTCAGCAGTTAGTTAAGTAACATTGATTTGGTTTCTTTAAAAAATTGTACCATCACATATGGAAACAGGAACCTATCTTCAAAAATTAAACCACAATCATAAAATTGTAGAATGGGTTTATATCAACCATTGCTTCATACTTAATTCTCCTCTCATCCCTTGTGTATATATATACTAATTATCAGTAGGACCCTGCCAATCTGATCAAGCATTCTCCCCCAAAAAGGACTTCCCAACTCTCATACTATGGCTATGCTCTCAAATTTTCTTGGTGCTGGCTGGCTGAAATATTTTAAGAAAGTGATTGAGATTCAAGATCATTCATCTGGTGTACAGGGTTCTCTTTTTGGGGCTGTGTATACTGAGAGGAGGAGGAGGAAGAGGAGGAGGAAGGGGGGTAGATATATATTTTTTGGTGTTACCAGGTCCAAAAGAAAATGGTTTTTTGGTTTGCCTTTTGTGAAGGCTTCACTTCTCTGGGATTGTGGGTATAGAAGTATGGTTTGCTGTTTATCTGTGACATGAAGAGAAGACTGATGTTTTTGTGTGCTGTCATCTCTATATTGTATATACATGAATCCCATGTCATGGATGCTATGTGTGAGTGCTGGATGGGACTGTCTCTGCTATTAACGATACTGTGTTCAACTATCAAGACCTGCAAGTGGTCTGTTTGGGTTCTGGTTTGCTACAGTTGGGTCCATGGCTATCCCAATTTGATTTTTGTTTCTAATTTTGTTTTTGTTGTGCTATTTTCGATCTAATAATTTATGTGTTTTGGTTCTCCCCCCTTCTTTGGTCTGTGGTTTTGGCCATAGAATGGTGGTTGATCACTGATCCTGTCATTCTGTATGTCTTAGTTCCATGCTACTCTGGCAAGGTGGCACATTGGCTGCTGATCACTGATCCAGCCAATGTGTTGTCCTATATGGGATTTCTTTCTTAGATCAATTGGTTCTTATGGGACAATCCTTTGTTGGTTTTTGGATTTTTTTTTTTTTGCTGCTGCCAGTAGTCTGTATTCTTATGATTTGGGAGCTGTTTTGGCCTAATTTTTCTCTGTTGTATATGTTGGCTGCTAACCTGAGTTTCTTAAATTTTTTGGGATGGTATGCACCTGAGTTTGTCCTTTTTTATTTTTCTTTTTTATGTGTGAGATTAAAGAATTTTGAGTTTGAACCTAAGGGATTTAGGAACAGTATTTGGTATCTGGCTGTAATATGGATCAGGGAGGATCTGTATTGGTTTTCTTTGATCTGGAGGCTGCAGTTTGTCCCATTAGCAGTTGGGAAAGATTTACAAAATGGTTTTTGGTTGGTTTCAATTACAGAACTCCTATATTTGTGGCTGCTGGATCACCTTTTAGCAATGGCCTATGGCCAAATTGCTTCAATTATATGGCTGCCTATCACTATGGACAGAACCTGTTTTTCAGTATCAGTTTGGAGCAGAAGGGGTTCTGTGTTGGGATTTCAAGATCTGGTGATTGATGTTTGGTTCCTGAGCCTGGTTTAGAATCCGACTTGTGGTTACAAAGTCTGGATGGTACGTGTAGACAAAGCAGAGCTCTGGATGGTACTCGTAGCTGAATCAGACTGGCTGGTTCTAAAATCTGGATGGTTCTTGATTCCTGTTCAGAGTTTTGGATTGCGATGGCCAGAGGCCAAATTGGTGTGTTGTTTTAATTTGCCATGTTGCAAAATTTGGGGGCTGTTGTAATTTGGTTACCTGGATGATGATATTATGTCCATATAAATGAAGTCCATTCAATCAATTTCAGTATACCAACACTCGGCATAGAATTCAACTTTTATACGTTATTTATGTCATCTTTATGCAAACTATGGTACCACAGATATTTCATGCTTCTTTCCAAAAGAAAAGAACGAATATTTCATGCAGTTTCAGAAGTTTAATGAATGATATTACGATGAAATTTGAAGTATTTGAGAAAAACTAACAGAAGTAAATTAACCAATGAGCCAGAAGTACTCATCCACTCTAAAGCAAGTGTCTACACTAATATGCAGATATTGAGAACCCAAAAAGAAAGCAATGCTTGACTAGCAAGTGTTTGACTGCTTATAAAATGTCTAAACTCAAGGAGAAATATAAGAGGAATCTCACAGGGCAAATCATTGTCATCAAAACGAGGTAACGAGTATAGTTGACACACATTTAATTTTTAGCTTGAAATTTTTCCAAAAAGGGAACATCATAGTTATTTGGGTACACCTGCAAAAGGAAAATTTTGCATTTATTTTGGGACTAAAGGACATTAAAGGAGTAACTCTGTTTACATTGTGTCTTCAGAAAATGCTGTTGAATGTTCATGGGTTTCATAGTGTACTTCTACGTTGATGATAAGGCAGCGCTGTAACAGAGGATAAGAAACTCTCTATCTAGGATAAGGTAAGCGAACAAATGACATAAAATGTCCAAGAAAGGAAAGATATAAGATGTAAAGGTAAATACTTTAATTAGATATACCAAGTACCCACAGATTTTAAATACCTTTAGTGTCAGAACAGTCTGGTTCAATGGACACTAAATATGTTCCAATTTAGAAAACAAGGGCAAGCAAAGCGCATAGCATATAACAGACACAAGACTTGAAACTAAAGTAATAGAGCATATGACATGTATGCTGAACTAAGAAAATGCTAACCAGTAAACAGAATGAACTGGGAACAAGAACCTTCCACGTGAGATATCACCTTGAAATTTACCTGATAATTGGATATAATTTTTTACCTGTATTCTCTGTGCTTCTGGTCCTGTTGAAATGAAGCGATGATCAATGATCGTGAAAAAACATTTAACTTAAAACTTAGAAGTAAATCTAGAAACAAAAAATAAGAAAATAAATCTTAATAGAAAAACAAACTTAGAAGTATTTGCACCTTTCTGGGGTGGTGCATTGCCATATGCAATCAAACTCTTAAGGGGGGGAGGGGGTAACGTGAGGCCCTATGTCCTATGATGCATGCTGTTGTCATGTCTCAATATGAAAAATTAGGGCCTTTAGAGGTTTAAAGTTGACATGTTTAGTTCGGGGCTCTGTGTGCCTTTCATCTTATTTCTTTCCTAAAAGCTTTCAAAAGAAACTAACTTAACTTGGGTTTCAAACAACTAGCTACAGCACTTGGACTAGGAGTCTAGGACTGCACATTGGCTTCTAATTTAAGCTGTGACTACTCTGCTTCTCCAATTTTGTATTTGTTTCTTCATGTATTTTGTTCTCTTTCCTCTCTGGACTACTCTTTTTCCTAGTATTCTATCGATGTTCTCTCTGTGTGCATCTGTTTTTTTTCCGACACACACACTTTGGCAGCAGCAAAATGCATTTGCTTTTTTATGGTCACGATTCTAGAAATTTACAATTAACTGAATTAAGAAGTATACTAATTTAATAACACTTTTATTTAATATAAGAAAACACAAAGTTATGTTTTGCCATAAAAATTATTGCTGTTTTGTGTAAAATTAGAAGCTAATGATTATTTAAAACTTACGTTATCACTCTAAAATAGATGATTATCATTTAATGCTATGCACTTATATCCTAATCTCTTTCAAAATATTCAAGAATTCTTTGTTTTGGAACACGTTGTGTGAGAACCATAAACCATTGCTCATTTCAGGTAGGTACATGCCTGCAACAAATTCCCCAACTTATATGCTCTCAACATCAAATAAATATACAAATCGAACCTCACACAGGCAACAAGAACAAAAATAGTCCCGTAAGCAACTGTGTGTATGAAGACAGAATGGTTCCACTATTTAAAAGAATTACGCAAACCACATAGCAAGTTATTCCCTTTGTTTTCCGTACAAACCACACAACCACGGTTTTGTTGCAAATAATCCTTCAAAAGGTTCCACTATTTAAAAGAATTAAAGCACAACAATTAGCCGGTTTAACTAAAAATCAACACAGAATATGAATTAAAAGCCTCACCACACAAATATAATGCAGAAAAAAGTCATATACCTAGCTAGTTCACGTGTGATAGGCTAACTTGTCCTTTCATTCTCTCCATCCCTACATATATGTTTCCGATCCACTTTAAAAGAATTGAACGTTTCCAGAATTCTAACTTCCTTCCCCTCAATCACTTAGCAACCATGCCAAATTCAAAATTCAAAATTCGAACCTTATGCAAACAATGCCAGCCAAAAAGGATTTATAAAACTAGTGTGTGAGAGTTAAAAATATAGCAGAACGGAGATACTCACTCGAGTGCGCTCTCCTTCAGTCGAATAACGATATAGAATGTCCAGCATGTATTTATACTTTGTATCTCGAGGAACATTCAAGAGGTTTGGGGGCAAGTATCGTTCCAGATAGCTGAAAAGCAGGGGAGTGAACTCCAATCAGAGATCTTCGTAGTTATCCGGCTTGTAATATGTGTAACATGGAAAGAACTTATGTTTAAAAAAACAATCATCTGTGACCCTGCAGAATTGTGACAACATAATACCATAAGCACATCGTACATAATGACATTAATCTATTTCTTTTGAGGTAATTTAACAAGTAGCATAAATTAAGAAACCAGTGAAAAAACCTGATAAACCACATTCCTTAGAAAACTGGATGGTGTAAGCCTTCTTAATGAGTTCAGTTCATTTTATGGCAACAAAACTACGAATGCATTCAATCGCCAACTCCTAGAAACAATATTTTGTCATTTGATCAAGCAAATGCTATTCATAAGCATCAACAAACGTGTTATGCACTGGCCCAATAGTAGGAGTTATATTCTAGAAGGGGTAGTTCGGGTATTTTGATCATAGAATCTGTTAATGGCTGTGAATAAATAGGGATCATCCAGAAAATTGTCTAGAGTTCTGTTTAGGAGAGACTAGCCTCTCAAATGCTAGAAACTGTTCCTTTTTATTGTTAATTGAATCACCAGTCACTTGTTCTTATCTCCTGGATATAAATTCCATTGTTTAAGTGGTTTAAGTCATGAATGTAAATATGTTCTGTTCTCCAGTTTCCAAGTGAACATTTGTTACAACTTGATTCAATGAATGCCTAGATGCATAGTTGCATACAACCTTTTAAGGAGATACAATCAACATTTAAATACAGATTAGATGGCTTGAGTAGGGTGACATCAAGATAATTAATCTAAACCACAAATGCCCCCCCCCCCCCCAAATCACTGCTGCCTTTATACGCTCCTTTTAATTTTTGTATCATTGTTCTTTTTGTTTGTTTCGTCAAAGAAACCGGACAACAAAATTGGAGTACCACAAAAATCGAAGGCCCGCATCAACAACAACAAGAGGAGCAAAATAAAAAAAGAAGCTAGAGGAACAAAATCAAACAGAGAAGCGAGAGGAATAAAAACAAACCTAAATCAATGGTGTACCTGATTTGTGTTGGAGAGTATGAATCGATATGAAATCAAACAGAGAAGCGAGAGGAACAACATCAAACCTAAATCGATGGTATACCTGATTTATGTCTTCGTCAAGAGGAGCGTATGAGAACAGGAGTGATAACTACAAGTAAAACCTGCATCTCGAGAGTACGAATGCCTGAATCGTTGCTTAGGAAAAAAGAATCGTCCGCTGCTTGGGAAAAGGTAATCGTCAAAATCGCTGAGGTTGTGATACATCAAAACCAACATTGTTAAGAAACGAGGTCTGTCAAGAAGAAATGTATCTGTATCTAACCCAAAATGGTTTTGGTCGCATAGGAGAAAAATTACAGAAGAAGAAGAAAGCCAAAAATGGTTTTGGTCGCAGAGATCGTATACAGAAGAAGAAGATACCGGCCCAAATCGGTAATTTTGAATTCTGATAAGAGAAAGCAGGTTTGACCAAGTATGATTTGGTGTTTAGGAAGTATTTGCATAAAGAGCTTGTACATCATGTTTTGTGACTTGTCTTTAAGAGTTTTTTGAATTTATTGCATATAAAACCATTGTAACTTATACTTAGTAACTTGTATTTAAGACTTTGTCTTAAATGGTTATATATGTAGTATAGACTAGTTGTATACTCATATAATGCAGCGGGAGCCGTAAATTTTAACGATTTTGAAGTTTCATTGGTTTTATTAGAGAAGATTTAACGATGATAATACAATTTGAATAAATAAAAGTTATCTTATTGTAACTACTATGCTCGAATGTTTTTTTGGGTATCACTGTGGATAAGAGATTTTTTTGTCAGGTAAATAAGACAAATTTATGATTCATCATCTTCTTTTAGATATTTGATAAGGAAAAACACATTTTATTTTAATTCAAACAACAATTTAAAAACTAGCTCATCAAAATATATGAATATAATCACGAATTCAATAACATTTGTAACTACTTAACGTGTACTAATGACAATTCATTTGTATTATTCATAAAAGTAATTAGTAATTTGTTATTGTCACATACTAATTTATATTAATGATCAATTAATATTAGTTATCCATTTGTAATTAAAATGGTATTCAAAATACTAATTGATTAGTATTTATACATAGGTTTCTAACTTATTATTTTATATTAATGCAGATTTAATATTTGTTTATGTTATTTATAGATTCGTTAAGTCTTTAATAGAGGATTATTCCCTATACTGCTTTATATTAACGATCAATTAATATTTTTTCATATTATTCTTACACATGCATATTATCTTCTATACCTAATAAGTTTTTGTTTAAACATTTACATGAAATTTGTTAGACTAAAAGGTTTGTACTTAGACAATGAATGTTGGCTCTGAATATTATTTTGTAGAATGTTGGAGTTTTTGAAACCAAAGAGAAATGAGGATTTGTTAGTTTAGATATAGTTCTAATTGACGAAAATATGTGATTTTATATTATTTTATTCTATGAATATACCAGTTATTAACTAAGTTGAAAAAAGTTGATCCAAATTAATTGCAGGGACAATCCAATTTTATTTTGGTTATTGTTTGTGGTATGAAGTTTTTTTAACCAGTTATTTTTAGTTGTTTTGATTAGTGCACACCACATAAACATTTGGGGTATGTCCCATTTGGAGAGTGGCCATGCGTTTGGATGGTAGTTACAATACCGTCGGATCCATACAAACTTTTAAAGCTAAATTGGTCATTCAAGGTTTTAATCAAAGACAAGGTGTGGATTACTCTGATACTTATGCACCGGTAGCTAGGATTACATCAGTAAGAGTACTTTTTGCCTATACATCAAATGGATGTAAAAACGGCCTTCTTGAATAGTGACCTAAATGAAGAGGTATACATGAAAAAACTTGAAAGGTTTGTGTTGCCCGGAAATGAAAGCAAAGTTTGTAAGCTAAAAAAAAAGTTATTATATGGGTTAAAACAAGCGCCAAAATAGTGGCATGAGAAATTTGATTCCATGATTTTATCAAATTGTTTTACCAATAATTTTGCCGATAGATGTATCTATTCTAAATTTACGAAGTACTACGGTCATACTATACTTTAGGGATGTTCGCCGTCTGGTTTGACCAGTTTAGCCTCTCAGACCACAAGCCAAAACGTAATGGCGGTTTATAAAATTTTCAAACCAAGCGGTTTGACATCAAGTGCCCAAACCGGGTAAACCAGACCACGAAAATGCGGTTTGGTCTGACCGGTTTAGACGGTTTGAACCTTTAATAGACTTTAAATATTAAACTTAAAAAAACATATACAATTTAGAATTTTAGATTAAATATCCATTTTAACAAACAAAATATTCAAGCAAATAGATGTAATAACTAAGCAGCTCTTGAGTCCAAAATCTAAATAATCCAAAGTCCAAACAAATAAATATATAATACATATTAGAAAACAAACAAATTAACAAGGTTACAACTCTACTGTGAGTATTAAGTTACAAAATCCACTACGATTCATTTGGATTTGATTATGTTAGATTTTAGGGTTTATGTTAGGGCTTAGGGATATAATGAACCATAACTTATAAGTTAAAAAAATTGGACTTGCTAATATTAATATATATATATATATATATATATAGTTGGTTTGGTCCAAACAGTTCAAAAAAGGTTCCAGACCGCTCAAACCGCAAAAAACGATCCGATTTGACTTGATTCAACCGATTTGAGCGGTCCAACGGTTTTTTTTAAACACCCCTACTATGTTTTTATGTATCCATGAAACTAAAGAATTTTTGGCTAAGATTTAAATGAAGTTGATGCTATACTAGGCATTAAAGTTAAAAGACATAGTGGGGGTTGTTCTTGGTAATGTTTAATTGAATATATAGTTTTAATAGAAAAAAAATATGATCAGAAAGTCGTTGTTAATTCAAGATATAAAAAGAGTCAAAATGGTTTAAAACCTCTTCCATATCCAAGCAAAATATTTACAGATCCTTTAGGTTTCTCTTCAGCTACAAGTATCAAGTAATATATACACAAACAGACAACTTCATAATAACCTCTAAAAATTATCAGATTTTCAGGCAACTTCAAAGTTTTCCAGATTCTACATCAGTTTGCAAGGAATTAGGCTGGTTATCCACCGAAGAAACCAGCCCGATCCCAGTCCGGTTCTGCCCGGATTGTTGGTTTAAATCTGGAATCTCCATAGCATGTGTACCGACTTCATCTACACGATCATCTACTCTTCTATTAGAACGGGTCTCTTCTAAAGCTCGAAAATAAGCATATGGACCCCACCCTGAAGCCAAGAAGTAATCTTACTAAGCATACAGATAAGAGAAGCACAAACAATCCCAAGCCCGGCTGGACCCGGCCCGAAAAGCCCGACCCTACCAAGCCCATGCCCAGGCCCCACCTTAGAACACCCGGGCCTTGTGCATCTCTAATACAGATCCCATACTATACAGAAAACACATAAGAAAAAGAAACTACCAACCTTCAGAATGATATGGGGCTGGAAAAAACTGCAGATAGCAAAATGTGGCAACAGTGAGACCTGGAGAATAACAATAGAATTCAGCGGATGCAAGTTAAAATGATTGTGTAATGTTGATAAATGTCGAAATTAACAAACCTAAAAGACCACCAGCAAATACATCTTGCCAATGGTGCCAATAATCATCCACTCGAGAAACGGCTACAAGAGATGCCATAAGGAGTGGAAGGAAAACGATGCATAATTTCGCCACATGACCCCGACGATCAAATGCTTTGATTTTTCCAGCTAAGTACAGTGCCAAAAACCCTAGGCCTGCAAAGGACCCTGCAAAACACACTAAATTTTCAGCATTGGACATTTTAACATGTTCTCGGGTCTGTTTTCATTACATTCTGGGGATAGAAAACTATATTGTTAATGCAAAATTAATATTAGCGGAATCTTACATGACGAATGACCGCTTGGGAAGCTCTTATGACCTTCTCTTATATCACCTTCTTCACCATGACATTTAACATTGCCCCACCGATCATACTCCTGCAACATTATAGCTAGCAGCATGAGAGCATCACAAAGATCAATGCCAAAACCTTGAGGGCCAACTCAACCGGCACATAAAGGCCAGGCCTTGAGACTCCTCCCCATAGATAGCCAGTGATGGCTGTTATCTTCAAAGCCCCACGATTACCATAAGAAAGGATCAATACCAAAAATCTGCCAGACTTATTGATGAGATTTATACTCGCATACATCTATGACTTGAAACTAGACCAGGAAATAAACCCGTAATAAAAATTTGAGCAAGCTCGCCACTATTCACCTCTAACTTGTAAAATCCTTTAATGTAATCAAATTCATCAAATCAGTTAGGGGCTATTTGGTTTGCGAAATTCGAGGGATTTCAAGGGAATTGGAACGATCAATTCCTTTGTCCGAATTCCAATTTCTTAGGGGTCGTTTACCAAACATTTACCCGGTAAGCGATTACCGGTAAATTTAACACTATCATTTACTTACCGGGTAAAATTTTAGTCCACCAAAACGGTATCGTACGCAATAATTTACCTGGTAAGCGCTTACCATGATAAGAGTCGTCGTCCTCACTTACTGGGTAAGACTCTTGGTCTTTGTCTCGCTCTTACCGGGTAAGATTTTTGGTCCTTATCATATTAATCCGGTAAGGTAATGTAACTTGATGTTCACTTACCCGAGTAAGCGTTTGGTAAACAGCCCCTTAGTTTGGTTCACATGTTGAAATGGATGGAATCATTTGAATTCCACAAATTAATGAATTCATCATTTCTTGACATAAGTGAAGGAATTGAATTCCATCCCTTTGCATCCAATTTAACCAACATGGAACACCATCCACCCCTTGCCCCCACCACGACCATAATACTATTGTCATTGTCACGCCCCCTAACAACTCCACCACCACACCACTAATATCACCGTCACAACTTCCACCCACCCCTACTCCATCCTACCCCAACACCCAACCCACCACTGACCACCATGTCGCTACTCTCTTCGTTACACCCCACCCCAACCCACCCCACAGCCCCACCTCGCCAGCCCACCACCATGCCAATATTGTCGTCGTCACAGCTACAACCCCTCCACCCACCCCTGCCCACCCCACCGACCACCATGCCACTATTGTCATCATCACGGCTGCCACCCTACACCTCACCACCATGCACCACCAATACCACTTGCCATTAATGTCATCATCATAGCTGCTACGCCATTCCCCACCCTGCCCACCTCCTCCTCCCGCCCCCGTCCCCACCCCACTACCACCAAGCCACTATTGTCGTCATCACAGCTGCCACCCCCACCCTCCCTCCAAATAAATATGGAGATTCCAATTCTTTTTAGAGATCCCATTCCAATTCCATCAAACCAAACACGTTGTCAAATTCCATCCAATTCATTCAAATTCAAATTCCTTTGATGGATTCCAATTCCACCAAATTCCATTCTGCGAACCAAACGCCTCAGATAAATCTACAAAATTTGAATATAAGTCACTGAAACCTAGTATAAAATAGTTGTCCCATGTGAAAAAATATGTTTTTACACATGCACACTGGGAGAATGCCCTTGAAACTTGTATGCTTGTTGTTAACTATCCTCTTTCACTTTATTACAAAAAAATAAGTCACATACATCAAGTCCATCAGGAAAGCAACGCCAAAAGAAATCAGGTCTAGGCCTTCCAGTGGCATCTTTTATGGCATCTGTCAGGACACCCGTTATAAGTACAGCAAATAAGAGACCTGCAGAAGTGTTAAGCAATGCAAATCATTCAACTCAAAGACGGGATTGAATGCGTTCAGGTCAAACTTAAACAGGCCATCAATATGGTTACCTAAAACGGCATGGTGCAGATCATATACATCTCTTCTCTTGAAATAGATGAAGATAAAAACAACTATAGGCAACAACACCGCATAAAGCTGTAGATAAAAAATTAATTACACAAAAATCATGGGTTTCCTAAAGCAAAATTCAGAAATGAATGCCATAAGAATAAACATTTAGCTCCAATGATCAGTAAGTATTGTTATGAGTGTAGACCAAAACTTATTGCTTCATTGTTTAAATGGGAAAGAAACACCTACTAAGGAATGAAAAATGGAAGACTTAATGATATGCTAGCTGAAATGTTCCATTTTATATCCAAATATGTAACCATGCAACACTTTTTCGTTATTTTGACACATCCCATTCTTTAATTGATTCCATCATGCCAAGCACACCATAAACGTCTCTCTTTAGCCTAATTCAATTCTTGGCACTTAAATATAGAGTAGACATGGAAAGAAGTATAAGAAACTCACTGGAACGGCCCACACAGGAACAGTGTTTTCCTTCATTGGATATCTAAGGTCTGTCATCATATCCTTTCCCACGAAGCGATAGAATGGGTGTATGATGTTTAGGACAATCTCAATGATTAAAAGCAGAATCAATATAAGCCAGTCATGCATGTGAATTCTAGCCACCGTAGTTCCATGAGACTTCATGTAGAATGCTCCAAGCTCGACTTCCCCAACTCTGCCCTGCTGTCCCTATTGAGATAAAGATAGGATCACATTTAAAAAAAAGTTGTTGATGACGGTCTACACAGATTTATATCACAAAGACGAACCAAATTATATGCATCTCTTAGCAATGAGAAAATGTTTCAGTCATTATTTTCAAAACAACTATTTGTTTGGACCCCATATTAGCAAGTAAAACAAGTTATGGTCACTTTGCGTCATGTTGTGACCACTTTATCCCACAGTCTCATTTTCCTGCCAAAAGAAGATAGCGACTCGCCCAATTTGCCCTTGTAAAAGCGGTACCATGTAATCTGTCGGGAAGCATTAGCTTTTAACCTGAAAATAAGACTAGTGGGCAAAAAGGTGATCATACATATGAGAGAGGTCCAAACAGATGTCTTTTCCCATGACTATAGCCCTTATATGTATTAACATTTTACTCATGCCAAATTAGAGGGGATAATTCTAAAGGGTCAAGAAAAAAAATCTACCCACGTTCCATGAGAAGTGTCATGTCACCATTTCTTAGGCATATTTTCAAGGTAATTCTACAGTACACAAGAGAATATATGCCACTAAGTTAACAAATAAGATCATATTTAATCACAACCCACAAACCAAAATCATGCATCAAACTTGCTTATTCATTGATCAGTTACGAATTTTGACATGTCAATTCATTGACAATGCAAATTGGGTTTTACCCATACAACAAATTAAATTACGACTCTAAAGTGTACAAGAAAACATCTATCACTTTACAAATGCGAATTACTACTTAATAGCAATAGCAACAAACATATCCTCTCTAATAAACCCAAGAAAATTCCAACATTAGACTATTGGATCAACCAGCCATATGGTTGTTTCACATGGTGCGTAAAATGAAATTCGAAATCAATCAACAGATGCGGCCAGTCCAACATACTTCATGGCTAAAACAAAAATCCATAATCCCATGGACCAGATGAACTTGAGCAGCCTCAGCACCCCGCAGAATGCACACATGGCACCAACTGGACCACCAACTAAGCATCCACCAAGGAATACAAACATGAATTCCCTACAAATTACTAGAGTTGTCCATAACAATCTAGGATTCCCTTGTAGCTTATAGGTTCCTCTAGAACTCTTTGGATTGAAGTCTAGGATATTTTCATAGTAGAACCTGAACTAGGAAGTTCCCAAGCCTTGAGAGTTCTTGTATCTTGGATGTTAGATGGAAGTTTAGACACTTATAAGTAGTTGGTACCTCATGCGCAGTCCATCCAAAAGATATAAGAAACCGTCAAGTAATTTAGACAAGCATTTCTCTATGAATCCTTTAGAAGTGCTTGTGCTCATTCTTTCATCCAAGTCCTTTCTCAAGCATTTTTAAACTGACCTAGTTCTTCCAAGATGCCATAGTTCTAAGGCTGCACAGGACCTGAAGGCATAACCAATAACAGTGGGACAAAAATCCACATTCTTTATGTATTAAGTAGGCCCCTTGCGTCGATTGAGGACAATACAGATTGGTCAAGACAAGTTCAAAGCTCACTTCTTCCCAACAAATATTTATCAGCTTGGCAGCAACATAAGTTGCACGGAATAATAATCAGATGACAAAGTGAAGCAATATAAACACAATATAATAAAGTGCTAGAAGTCTCTTGACCATAGTTGATGGCAACGGAAACAAAATATTTGAGCTGCTGTTCATTGATTCTAAAAGTTATCAGCTGTTATATTATATAAGTCCTCATACTTTTACAAATTCGACTTTGTTTATTTTAATTTTGATAAAGTATTACTCTATAAAATTGCAGAAACAACATCTCAAAATGCAACGTTGTTTGCTCTTAAATATTCCTTCTCAAATCCACAAGCCAAATGTGGATGTATTTTGACACATTGCAGTATATAACCATTTTTAAGCCATGATTAGAGCAGAAACTCAATAACTCCCACATATTTTAGACAAAATAACCAAGGTAACAAGAAAGTCTTTGCAGCTCCACAACAAGAGCAATTGGTGCTACTTGAAAAGGTTATGTGACCTAGGGTTGGGATTCAAGTCTCCAAGAAGCAGCCATTAAAATTACATAGATAACTACTCTAGAAGAACCAAGAAAGTGCAACTATCCCTTTCTTTTGGTAAAGTTTCAAGTGAACATTATCAATGCCCTCATTTTTTACAGGGACATTCACCAAAGACTGGTATGGGCCTGAAACCTAAAATTCTTTCTGTAATTTGCTGTAGTGTAAAAAACAATGGATGGGAGAGGAAATTGTTATTACAGTGCATGCTCCAAATCTTTGGTAATAATAGTGCATAACACAGTTCAGATACCTGAATCCACCCCACCAGTTGGGTTTTATTGATACAGACATACAGTGGATCTCTTTTGAAAAAAAAAAAGTATAAAATAACTTTAAGATTTATATATATATTTTAATAAACCTCTGCATGCACTTGCATTTAAAAGACCTAAAGATGATCACGAGCCAAAAATCCCGAGGATGTTGTACTAACCTGAAACATATTCCGCAGGATCTGAAAACTCATTCTTCTACTGCGTGATTCAAGAACGAGAAACAGAGCCAAATTAGACAATCGGTTTTCTGAAATTTAAAACCCCAAAAAGTGCAGGGTTCAATTAACTTAGTAAACCTAAGATTAGACGCTTTCCGATCAGCGATTAGAATAACTAAAGCAGAATATGTGAATCTTAAAAGAGAAAAGTAATCATTTACAAAGATAAAGTGGAGAATAATTGTGGTGGTTGTACCTGAATGGATACTTTCCGGCAAAAATCGACGGGGAAAACTACTCGCCAACAAATGGGACCCAGTGTCACTCAAAACTCCCAAGTTCTAATGAGTATATGGTTGACAAATGATCGATAATGGATGAAATATGTGTATGTCCGTTTGGTTTGTGCGTTTTAGAGAGAGAATGGAGTGACTAGAGAGAGAAAGGGGTTCCTTCGCCGGTGACGGCGGTTATGGAGGGTGGTTGGATTGTCGGTTAGAGGGAGAAAAAGCTTTTATATTAGATTTTTTGAAAATCACCCAAATTCCCCCCTAAACTATATAAAAACATATAATTGTGGCCCTTAAGTATCAATTTCACCCATTTACCAACGTCTTGCTTTAATATGGCGGTAAATTAAGGGGCTCGTCTGATTCTCTTGATTAGCATTCTAGCAATACAACAAAATATATCTTGATTATAATATTTCGGAGACTATCAATGTTACAATGTGATTTTATATGATTTTGAGAAAAAAAAAATTTATTTTTAAATAAAATATAAATTTGAAGATATTATAAAATTTTAACAAAAATAAGCGATATTAGTATCAAATTAACTATTTAAAAGTTTTCGTTTTTGTGTAATTTTTTTAATTCAATTTTTATTATAATTTAATTGAAGTTTAAGAACGAAATGATTTATTTTTGGTTTAATAATTTTTTTTTGGTATTATCCTGAATGATCTTAATTATATTTTAGATTTTTTATATTTAAAAATGATTTTTATCATGTATTTGATTATGTTTATCTGCAGTTAGTTACACGAATTCAAACATTGAGCTTTAATAAGATGTATTTATGCGCATTCTACTTGTAATCTTGAATTTTAATTAATATGCATCAATATACCTTGTGAGTTTACGTTACAAGTGAGAACATCTCCATAGATTCTTCGGTCAAAATCTTAAAATTAAATATAATAGTTTTGAAGATTACAATATGAATAATATTATTAAAATATGTCAGATTTTTAAAGGATTTCTTATAGAAAAAATAAAATAATATCTCTTTTATAGATAATCACTTTTGGATACTCTTTCAAATTTGAAGAATTTTTCCATTGCCTCTCTCATTTTTTCTCCATTTTGTAGAAAGTTTTGAAAAATCTATTGGAGTAAAAATTATTAAAATCTCTATTTTACAGAATCTTTTGAAGATGTTCTAAGATGCATCTTATTTTTTTTTATAAAAATAAAATAATAAAAATCAAATACTTGAATAAAAATTATATCAAACTCCAACAGTAATTATATTTTAACAATTTCAACATTAATTACAGCATTAAAATATCTTCTCATATATATATATATATATATATGTATGTATGTATGTATGTATGTATGTATGTATGTATGGGGAAGGATTCAAACGAGAACCCATGTAATTTATGAGAACGCGAGAACAACCCAATAAACTCATATTGTGATAAAAAATAAAATTAAAAGATTTTTAAAATTAAAATTGAAATTTAAAAAGATTCAAAAAATATTAAAATTAAAAGGGTAATAATATAAATGATATAATAAAATCTTTTAACACGATCATGATTATCATTATCTAATAAACGGCTAATCATGTGATTATCATGTGATATGGGTGTGATAATCATGTGATTATCACACAATTATCACATTATCGCTTATATCAACACGATTTGGTGTGATATGGRTGTGATAATCATGTGATTATCACACAATTATCACATTATCGCTTATATCAACACGATTTGGGTGTGATAATCATGTGATTATCACACAATTATCACATTATCGCTTATATCAACACGATTTGGTGTGATATGGATGTGATAATCATGTGATTATCACACAATTATCACAAGGATTCCGCTCAGCTAGGGTTAACTTAGAAAATCGGCTACCGATTTGGTGTGATATGGGTGTGATAATCATGTGATATCACTATCATAACATCGCACTTGATTTGATCATGGTTTCGATCGGTTAGGGTTAGACAATCACACATTTATCACAATGATTACTCATGGTTTCGATATGTTAGGATTAGACAATCACATATTTATCACAACGATTGCGGGCGAAATCCACTAAACGATTTGGTGTGATAATCATGTGATATCACTATTATRACATCACTTGCGCACTCAATTTGATCATGATTTCGATCGGTTAGGGTTAGACAATCACACATTTATCACAACGATTACTCATGGTTTCGATAAGCTATGGCTACACTTGATTGATCATGGTTTCGATAGGTGGTTGTTACACAATCACACAATTATCACAAGGGGAGAGAAGAGAGTGGAAACGAACGTGCAGGAAAAAAAAGGATAATTATAACTAATTAAAATAAAATAAAAATTATAAAAATTATTTAATTACATTACTGCCCTTATTAATTTATTTATATTTAATATAAGTTAATTTATTAATTAAAAAAGTTTGAGGTTATTAAGTTGTTCTTGCGTTTTTGTAAATCACAGGAATTCTCGTATGAACCTCCACCTATATATATATATATATATATATATAGGTTAGATTTGATTTTTTTTTTTTTTTAATTATATAGTCGTAACTCATATATATATTTAAAATTGAAAAGTATTTAAATTTAAAATATATTTGGGGGGTGTTTGGGATTGCTTATTTAAAACAACTTATGTTTTTTTGTATAAGTGCTTATTAACTTATGTGGTATCAAACTGGAGTTAAATAAAACAAGGTTAAAATTGTAAACTGGTAATAAGCAGTTTTTCATAAGTCAGGAAGGATTAACTTATCCAAAACGGCTTATCACCGGTTTGGCACCAGTATAAGCAGTTTTTTTCTTATCCAAACACCAGAAAACAGCTTATCACAGGTGTCAGACTGAAATAAGTTAAAAAACAGCTTTTATAAGCAATTCCAAACACCTTTTTATAATCAATAAGAATTGTTTATATATATAGATTTGTAGTTTCCTTTATTAATAAGGATCTTTTTTTACCCACCAATCAAAAACTTTTTGAGAAGGCTTTCTTTTTCGTGTATGTATAGTCTGGCCCTAACGGCCTCCTCTCATGATCGACATTGTCACGCTGTTGTCAAGACTCGCGGTTATTCAACCCTCTGCTCACTGCCCTCTCCAGCCACAGCCACAACCTCAACCTCAACCTCTGTCCACCGTGACTCTAACACCTCCTCAGGTTTTTTTTAGATTAAATGTTGAATCTTTATTTTGTTAATTGATGATCTCATTCTTGTTGATTTCTAGATTTTTAGGTGCCATTTATCAAACACTTACCCGAGTAAGTGTTTATCAAGTCATATTACTTTACCGGATGAATATGATAAAGATTAAAAATCTTACCCGGCAAGAGCGAAGACAAGAAGCGAGAGTTGTACCCGGTAATTGAGGGCAACGACTCTTACCATGGCTAGCGCTTACCGTGATAAATTGTTGCATACGATGCATTTTTGGTAAATAAAATCTTACCCGGTAAGTAAGCGACATTGTTGAATTTTACCGGTAGGCACTTATCAGGTAAGTGTTTAGGTAAACGGCCCCTTAATGCGCCTATGATTTTGTGTGCTTAATTGAAGTAGTTGTTGTCTGTCTATGTTTGTATGCTCATATTATAAACATCGGTGTTCGATTCTTATGGTTCATCATAGGCTTCTAACTTAAAACTGAATTTTCTATGCTAATGAAAACTAACAAGTTGATGTGCACCCACTAAAATTCTTGAATGATGCTTGTAAATCTATCAGTAACGATTATAAACTACTTTTATTCACTCTAATAATGTCTATAAAATATCGTAGATGGAGCAGAAACAGATTTGTAACGTTGAAAAGTTGAGGGATTTCACACATTCAATGAAAATTTGAGGGATTTCTTTGAAACTAAACACAAGTTCTCTGCTCATGTCATGTATGGATTGAACCAAGTTGGTTGGGCCTACCTGCAGGGCCGGCCCTGGCCATAGGCCCAGGGGGAGAAGGCCCAGGGTAGCATGAAGTCCAAGGCATCAAATTTTGAAAGCCCAATGTATGTATCGGTTCGATTTTATTTTGGGCCGTTAACGTTACCACTTACCAGTCCACTCCAGGCAGCCCACCATCATCTCGAGTTCTCGCCTCCTCACCTCGCCTAACCTCGCTCTGTCGCTCACTCTTGAAGTCAATCGCAATCGCTCTCGCTCACTGCCTGACTCTCGATTTTGATTCCGTCGCTCCGACTGCCGTCGGTCTGCTGCCCCCTCTCGTCTGCGGCTGGCTGGCCGGCTGCCTGCCTGCGTGACTGAGTTGCGTCTCTCGTCGCTCTCTGGCTCTGCGACTCTGCGCCTGCGGCTCTGCCTCCTCTCGCTCTCGCTCTACTAGACTACTACAGAGAACAGAGTCTAATTCTTGTTTTATACTACAGGTTAGCACTTAGCAGTTCTTGTTAGTTGTTTGATTGCAAAACCTAATTCTTGTTTTATATTCTAATTTTATTTTTTTACTCTACTGTTGAGGATAGCACTTATTTACTTACTGTGGAATTAGAAACAAATTACAACCATTTGTTAATTTTAGGGTTGTTTTACTGTGTTTAGAAGTTGCAATAAATCAGTTGTACATGTGCCATCAGCCCATCACCTGTACCAAGTTCTGGAGATGAATAGATGATTGACAGTCCTTTTTCCATGGGATGGGAGCAGGGGCAGGATTGTTGATTGTTATGTCAATCTTGTGTTGTCTAAGGATGGGTGGTACTTCTGGTAGAATTAGACAAACAGACTTGTGACTAAAACACATGATGGACTAATGACTTGCTTACTTAGCTGGTTAAGGGAACAGGGACTTAAGTAACTTAGGGTTATTTTATATTTTAATTACTTGTTTACTTATTTACTTATTTACTTTACCAATTGAAATCAAAAGGCCATTAAAGTCACTTCATGATGCCTTTAGTCAAAGATTCATGATGCTTTTAGTAAGTTTGGAGGAAGGATTGGTTTTTGAATGTATGTTATTCACTTTTGTGCATGAATACGTAATAGTAATGGAGGGCTTAGGCTGTTGGATTTTACCTGTCTAGTTTTTGCCTGCGGTATACATCTGTGAATGGGTTTTGGTACTTTACCTCTTCAGTCTTTTCCCAGAGCTATAGAGGCACATCCTTCCTACAGGCTTTTAGGACTCAGGATTGAGCAATCTTTAAATCTTAATATACTTCTC